TATAAAAATTCTAAGCCACAACTTTTAATAAGATCACAAGGAACCCCCGTTGACATATCCTATAAAAATCGCACTTAGCGAGATATAGTACTAACTGTGACCGTTATATACTTCCTTTACCAAAATACACAGTATTAAAATACTACTAAAGCCAACTGCATTTCATAAAACCCCGTCTGATTCCTCTGATACGATATCACCAATATCAAGCCCCGCATGTCAAATGAGGTCATTTCAGTATAATGGTTACATTATCATAATTACATCATTAACAAAGGCAAACAAACGATTTCTACATCAGATTTTCCCTTGTGACCGACCAACTAAGAATCAAATGATTTTTTAATATAATATGAAGCAAAGATCAGAAAATCGCTGTCTAACATCCTTCGGAAGTCAGAAAACTGCTAGAAGGGTAACGAAAACGTAACCGTATATTCCTCTTAATCAATTTCACCATCGATTTTATACTAAATGAAAATATGGTAAAAGACAAACTTTAAGGTAATATGCCCGTGTGTATTACCTGGGAAAATATCATATCCTTCTTACAAGCAAAATAATTTGATAGTATTCAAACTTCTGTAGTTTCCGGCTTTAGATGTATTTTGGGTTAGTTAGGATATTATTGTAATTTAATACTGTACGCAACATTTTTATATATCGATTGATACTTTTTGCTCAAGTGTGATTAACTTTTAAATACCGGTAGCATAAAATCACTTAGAATCGTCATTGAATACTACTTATTTTAAGCATTTTGGCTGACATACACTATGAGGAACCATGTACTGTAGTTAATTATCTTTCAAAGTAAACATCTCGACCGTATATCTCTCTCAATAGCCTTCAGCAGGGTCACTTCTCCGATAAAACTACCCTGATTCTGACCTCACGCGTTTTAGGCTACATTAGCATTCTATGTTCGAGGCTATATTATTTAAGAAATCCAAAAACCTGGAATAAAACCCCACTGTCACATATATTAGTTTTCACATCCATTCAGTTGGATTTTAAGGGGTCCTCTCCGTCAGATTAGGACTGCATTTCATGACGAAAGGAATTGTTTACTTCGTGTGAGTTAATAACTAACACGATGTCTATATGTTGTGCCACACGTATCAAACTGTGTTTACCCTATCATGTTAGCTGGATGTTGTACAATGCAGCCTGTTCAATATTTTACCGTAGACAATTTCTCTGTAATGGCTATATTATAGGCAATTATAAAGTTTTATAAAAAGGTCGACGTAGCTCGGCACTAACACGCAATTCATGTAATAACTATGCTCACAGGACTTACCGAATGTGTCCAAGTGTTATTGTTTTAGCTTAAAAATAAACTTAGAGTAAATGTATAACGAATGGAGCCGTAGAATGGACGACACTGACACATATGCGCCGGTAAAGTGTATGCCTACTGTAGTGTTGTCAAAAGTATGTATTCGTGAGATATAATCGTGCTAGAGGAATGGCGAACGTTGGCGCGATTTTTCAAAGTTAATCGCCCGTCAAACAGGTCTTTCCAAGTCGTAGAAATGCGAAACAGCCGGCACGAGCCTGTCTTATAAATTGTTGCTGTTATTTGCAAAAGCTATTCGCTTTCATGTTTATCGTCCTCGTAGAATTTAACAGTTAATCGTCATATTTATAGCAACTCAAAAACGTATATGAAATAGAGTTGTTCACTATAAAGTCTCGGTCGTTAACCCGTGTTCGCCGAGTTGTAGAAAGCTCCATTCTCTTCTCTCTCAAGTAACTATACTAACATATAGCCCGGAATCAACTCATCGCGCGTTTTGTGAGAGAAGCAGGTCTGGTGTGCGTGAATTAAGTGAAGATTAGTTCCAAGTTTTCAATATTACATATGCATAAAGAGAGTTTGTAATCACATTTACACGATATCGAAATTATTAAAAGTATTTTAACTTAATATTAAAAGCAAGTCTGAAAAGAAAGTACCATTGTTCCACACCATTCATTCTTACACAAATGTTTTTTTTTATCTTCAATATTTCGTCTAACTCATCACTTAATGAAAAACACTGAGTTTCGACAATGAATAAATGTCGAATGAACTAAGTATTTACTACATACAGGGTGTTGAAAATGTCTGGAACCAACATTATATCTGGTGAGTGGTTAAAGAAAAACAACTGATATTTTGTGTACGGATATACTATGGTTTTACCTATCTTTTGGTGCCTTATGAAATTTTTTACGACTTATAGGGAACGTCCTGTGGAGGATGCAGTAAAAAGTTTTAATGGAAGCATATGGTAAATGATACATCATTTTAAAGGCCATTTTTTTCTGAGTAAGGAGCCGCAAGTTTCATCTCAAAAGGACCACCCTAGCAAAAATGGCGACTGTTTGAAATTTAAAAACATTGCTATTTAAATGGTCCGTATTTGTTTCCTTTAAATGCTATTACAAGCCAGTTACGAAGTACAGTAGTTTATAACGTGGTGAACTGAAAAGTGACTAAAAAAAACATTTTACTAAATTGTTTGTGTTGTTTTACTAAACTTATTTTTAACATAAATACCAATTAAGCTTTCAATTATTTTCAAAAACTTCAAACCGTCGCCATTTTTGCAAGGGTGGTCCTTTTGAGATGAAACTTTTGGCTCCTTACTCAGAAAAAAATTACCTTTAAAATGATGTATCATTTACCATAGGCTTCCATTAAAACCTTTTACTGCATCCTCCACAGGACGTTCCCTATGAGTGGGTTTTTAAATTTCAAACAGTCGCCATTTTTGCTAGGGTGGTCCTTTTGAGATGAAACTTGCGGCTCCTTACTCAGAAAAAATGGCCTTTAAAATGATGTATCATTTACCATAGGCTTCCATTAAAACTTTTTACTGCATCCTCCACAGGACGTTCCCTATAAGTGGTAAAAAATTTCATACGGCACCAAAAGATAGGTAAAACCATAGTATATCCGTACACAAAATATCAGTTGTTTTTCTTTAACCACTCACCAGATATAATGTTGGTTCCAGACATTTTCAACACCCTGTATAATTACGCTATATAATCAGCACCTTACCTCCACCCTTACCTTAACTCCACATGACTGATTGTTTTTATTTTGTTTACCTTTGATTACAACTACTCTGAAAAACATCAAGAATGCAGATAATTTATTTGGCCTGCATTCGTTGTCAACAATTTAATTTTTAATTTTCAATTGGATCGCCAGTCTGTTTTCATTTTCATATTGAAATCATCAACGGTTAAATTGTATTTCCAAACAATAATGTCAACTTTTAAACATTTAATGATAATCAGTTACGTTTAGATTATCAATGCTTGGTGATTTAAATGCTGGATTTTGTAAAATGATGTTAAATTGTTTAACGTATAAGTAATATTTTAGGATACATTTAAAAAAATGAGTAATGGAATCGCCGTTCATAGCTTGATTCTACATGTGAAATTCGCAATAGAAAAATATTTGAATTTGTTTAGTAGCTTGTTTTTTTTTTCAGATAGTCTTAGTCTGGATGTGATATTTTGTCATTAAAGCTGTTTCTAACAAAAAGGAACTTTCAGAAAAGTTGTCGTTGGATTTTTCTTGGTTACTTAAACCACATTGTTTACCCGTATTGTATCAAACCACTAGAGTTAGCTTGAATATGTCTTAACTGTTTTCATTATTTCAGTACATTAAAATCAAGTTTATAATCGAAATGTCTAAAACTAGTATTACTTCATTTTAAATCAATTTAACCATTTATCTGTTAATCAACATACAAATTAATAATGACGGCCATTTAAAACATTACGTTATATAGTATACATAAATATTACGTGATAATAAGTTAAGAAAAATATATTTTCAGGTTGTAGAAGCGTTACTATAAAATCTGCCATACAATTTGCTGGATAATTGTTCTGGTATTTGTTTGAAACAAGTTCTGGTGGCAAGGTTGCCGAATCTGGCAACACTATTGAAATTTTGAACTAAGCCGACATCTTAAATTAGTTTAAATTAAATTCATTCAATACGATCATGGAAAGGAGGTTTAAGAGAATAGGGTTGTACATCAAGTATAGTTTGTCCTTTCCGTCTGACATATAAAATATCATTTCGCCACATTAATCAGCTAAAGACAAAAATTATGCATAACCTTTTTTCTTCAGCTATATAGGTTAATAAATTGTTAGAAACCGCTTCTGATACATATTTTACAATCTGGTAAACTTCATTATATACTACACTTTTAACAGTAATTAAATAGAATAATAATGTTTTGTGTTCCTCTTGGTAGCAAATCTCAAGTATTTAAAACAACGGGAGCGGATCCAAGTCCAAGTTGCATTGTCCACACAGCTGTTTTAATAAAAAGTTTAACAAAGCAGGTGAAATTTCGCTCACCCTATAGGTTTGCTGCGATGGGGAAATTTCACTATATAATGTGATTGATTACCAGTATGAATATCGTGTGTTTTATATATCTCATTCTATATATTATTTCGTGGAATATCCTCCATTACAGATTTTTGGATGTACAAGCCAGGCCAATCAGTCAGGGTTCGCCTTATTTTGCACATCAACATTTCGATTTCTAAGATGTTTATTATTCAATCTTTTCGAGTTTAGTGTCGTTCAATAGGATATTTTTAATGCTAAATAAGAGTGTTTTGGTAGTTTTTCATAAAATCATCCATATTTTAGTAATTTAAGTTAAAAATAAAAATAGCCACCATTATTAAACATATTTTTATAGTAACGATTTTTCTCAAATAGCTTTTGACTCTTAAATTACAAACTAATATTTATAAAGATTTATTTTAGATATAAATTTAAAACACACAAAAAGAAAATGACGGATATCTCACTAACGAGTAGTTTTTTATAAAAAAATGTTGCTCTTGATTTTTGTTTTACTTTGACCCTTTCCAAGATTTTATATACTTACGGGACACTATGTATAATGCTTGAATTTAGCTATAACGCAGAACGCATATTTTATAAAATGTACATGATAATGACTGATGATAAGAAAAGCGAGATGTTCACACTTCCCAATCTGGAGAACCAAGCCAATAGAGGTGGGGAACAGAATCACCTCTAGGCTAGCAGTAGGCCGAACGCCTAATGATATCTGACATTCAGTATGGGGGTGTAGGTATTGATGTAGCAGGATTACCAATAGTTAATGGATCTGTTTGCTCAGACTGAATAGAAAACTCATTAATGAAGACAGTTCGATGTCCAGTCTGATTATTTTGAAAGTTAGGATTCATAGACAGGTGAGACCCTTAGTGTGGTGAACCACAAGTAGTGAAAATAATACTCCGATTCATGGATTTGGCCTACCTTTGTAAGGTTTCAGTCAGCTCAATGTGTCCAAAATAAATCTCTGCAATTTATTTATATCTCTGTTCATGTATTACATAACATAATATATTTACAGGAACCCAAATAAACAATAAGCTTTATTGGAATGATCCCATGTCAGAAAGTGTCCAACGATCACCATAGTGGCCTATTGGGTCAGTAGATAAAACATAGTACACAAAAAAGAACAACAAACAGCAAAAACACTTGCATTTGCAATACAAAAAGTGAATGGTCCACAACTTTCATTTTTATCAAAATATTTTTAAGAAGAAAAAATAGTTGCACTAATAAGGTTTATGTTACCTGGCTTCTGTCTCCGATCCACGGTGTGCCAATGTAGGCATGAAACAGCTGTAGTTTCTTAAAACTACCGTGGATCGGAGACAGAAGCCAGGTAACATAAACCTTATTAGTGCTAATTTTAACGATCCAGTGGCCAACCATCATGAAAAAATATTTGTCTACCCACATGCTGTATATGTGTTATTTAATAAAATTTTTTTTATGCTTAAAAAAAGTCTTAGTTGAATGTGCCACACACACTAACACCGTAAACGATATTTAATTTTTTAACGAAAAAATAAACAATATAAAAATAAATTTAATCCTTATACCGTGTTCGCAATAAGAGGTGATACTGTACTACGGCCATTTCGGAGATTACTCCATCGTCGGGCGCGTAGTAACTTAGTACACTAAACTTAAGTCCGATAAGAACCGTAATTAAGTCTAACCATGTAAGAACACTTCAAACGGACAACACTTCAGATGGACAGGTCCTAAAATTTCGGGATAGTTTAGGGAAAACATATTCTCGATCTTCGGGAGGGATAAAGATTAATTCAAGATTTTTTTTCTTTGGCCATGATCGCAATTAAGGGACAATGATTTCCCCGCGATTGAGAGAGATGTTCACAAATTGACCGCGATCGCGTGGAGTATTCACGATTTTGCCGCTACGGACGGTGACCTGATGATGTTCCTGTGGTCGCGGGAGATAATAACGATGGAGCCGCGATCGCGGAATACTGTCATGTTGACGTAGAACAGTACAATACACACTGAAAATATATTTTGTTTGTTTTTTAGTACTGCGACTTTAATGTTTACCCAATATTTACAAATTAATGTTTTTATTGTTGCACGGGAAGAAAAGTCCTGCCCCAAACAACAGAAAGGAGAAGAAAACCAAGTACCAAACTAAAAGTACCATTATTGACCTTATATCTACACTATATAAATAAATAAACGATATAAAAATAAACAATATAAAGTCAATGGTACCATCCTTAGTTCCATTCCATCCTCCAATATTAGTTTAGAAGGCCCTAGAGTGTCACACTTCCCTTGGATCATCACGGGTTACTGGAGTTAGTTCTTCTTGTTTATTCCACTAAGGTGTATTCTGTGTTGCAGATTCGGTGACTATGGTTGAATCACGAGCGGTTGCTGTGGTTGCAGTAATAGTATATGCCTGTGTGTGCATGACTTTCGCTTGCAGGGGCAGACTACTCAGTAAGTTCCTAATTTTTTATTTATTTTACTCAATTTGTTAACTGCATGTAAATAACGAATTATTATTTTTAGTACAAAAAAACTTTAGCTTATAGAATTGTAGAATATTTATTAAAAGATATAAGTTTTTAGTACTTTAATGGGATAACATATTCATTGGTATTAAGAAGTACATGAACATATTTTATTGTTCAATATGCTCCAGAGCTTTCAATGAACGAGTGTGTTACATTATGTGATATTCACATTTTCCTCGATAAGCTGATCAAATCAAACAAAAATGTTTACTACCTAAGTGTTGGAAACTAATTTCCAATACCAGCAGACATGAGAATAAGAGTTATTGATAGACTTCAGTTGACCATTATAAATTAGATGGTTACATACTTATGAGGATGGAGTACTGCAAATCTTGATTTGCACATCTAACATATAAATACCTTAATCTACGCTATCTCACAATCCAACTATTAATCAAGTTCACTGGCCTACTTAAAGCAACAACCTCCTCTAGGTCAGCACAACAATTTATTTATTGAAAATTTTCAGCCTGATTGACCATGTCTCCGAACACATCATCTTTAAAATATCCTAATGGTCTGAATGTTTTCCAGGGAGTGGAGGGTTGACAAGTCAGGACAAGCAGACTATAGTTGACCTACACAACCAGATGAGGAGCCAAGTGGCCTCAGGAAGAATCCAAGGCCAGCCTGCAGCCGCCAACATGCTGGAGATGGTTTGTACCTTTGATATTACCACCAACATTAACTATTATGAAGCAGGATATGTGCAAAGATAAATACAGTAATAATGTGGTGAGTGCACATACTGGACAACTAACTTGGCTGAAGTTGTGTAACCGTCACTGCCAACTTGTAAGACTAAAGGTATTCACTATTCACCACTAGATAACATCTACTGTGTAAAACACCAATACATTTATCATTTATTATTTTATAATTGATTCTCTCTATATTGGCAAACGTTTTGATCTACAGTTTATGCAATAAACACTCCTCCAAATCTGCTAACAAGGAAAATACTAAAATGTGAATGAATACTTTATCACACAACACAATCGCCCGTTTTAATTGCTGTTATCTGTTTCTGTTCCAATCTATAATTTTTACCAAACTGAAATAGGAAGGTCCATATTTCAACAAACAATAATTAAAAGTAATGTTTGAGTGATGCCATAAGATAGGTTTGTTTTGTTGTTTAACAACATTTTTACATGCAACGAAGACAAAAGGAATCAGTTAGACTTTTATGTCAAAGCCTTGTCTTCAATCAATGCTGCTGCACCCTGCATGTAAATAGATTAAGCATAATTTAGTGAATCTATACAGCAGAGCCTGTTTTATCCACAGTATGTTTGCCAGGTGTGGGATGAAGAACTCGCAAGGAAGGCGCAAGAGTGGGCAAATCGATGCCAGAATGGACATGACTCCTCCACAGCTCGAAGAGTCTGTGAGTATTGTTCATTAGTTTGTCAAAAAGGAGAGCAATAATTGAAATTAGTATCACCACATTTTAATTCAATCTAGAGTTTTTTTTTATAAATTGTAGTTTTAAGCTCTAATTGTTTAACAGTATCATTAAATGAAATCAATATCTCAGTATTACTTTTATCACCCATAATAGTTGAGATTAAACATCCAAGTCTAATGAATGACTCTCTGTTCTCGGTTGCAGCGAGGTTTGCTGTTGGCCAGAATATTGCCAGCACATGGTCGTCACCTCACCCAAACCGACTGGGCTCTCAACCGGACTTTAACACACAAATCGCAGCCTGGTTCAACGAAGTCTACCAATACAGAGGAGGCTTCAGTCACGGAACGGGACATTACAGTCAGGTAAGGCTAAAATAGGACAATGTCTATTATTATATCTCTTAGCTTGAAAATAGTTGAAATAGTATTATGACTCCTAAACTTAAATGCTTAACCGGAAAAACAGTGATAATATTATTTCTACGATTATGAGTTTCCTTGAATAGAAAGTCTATGTAATGATTACAATCTACATGAAACCATAGTTCTAACACGTTCGCTACTGTACCGACCCAAATTTTGGACTTTCAGTAAAGACTTTTAGATATAGTATTTGTGACACACTGATTTTGCATATAGATCGACGTTACACATATGTGACGCTTGGGGTGCTAACCATAGCCTGACGTTACATATTTGTGATTCAAGCTCCTCGTTACCAAAGGATCTGGTTTGCAGTTGGTGTATTTGATCGTATTTTTAACTGCGTAATGGGCTACAGGAATGTCTGTCACATATATATGTCGCGTGGTCTGTGGATGGGACCTTTTATTTTGATTTCAAAGGAGTGTTAATCAACCTGTTGTCTATCTTGTTTTACCTTACTAATTTACATGCTTGTTAAGAATTTGTTCTATTTTTTATCATTCAATAGACCTATTTTTGATACTAAATAGAGTTGATTCATTCCATTTACCAAGACCTAAAGATAAAATCATAAACTTGAATAAAATCGTATGTTTTAAATGAGTCACATATGAGTGACGGACTGTCTGCAGCAGAAAGTCAACATCAGAAAAGCACCGTGGACCGGCGTCGTATGTGTGATGCAAATAAAAATCCACAAAAATGCAAAACTGTATCACTACATAGTTTTTTAGGCACTTTTTATATACATGTTTTAAATCAGTTATTAAAAGATGATTAAATATAACCCTTGCAACATTCAGTAGGTAATAATACTTCTCTTTGCTTACAGATGGTTTGGGGAGAAACTTATCTGGTGGGATGTGGTTATTCCTATTACCAAGATGGATCTAGATACACAAAACTTTACATTTGCAACTATGGTCCTGCGTAAGTTCTATGATTTTCGATTGATTATACTAATAAGTCTAAGATTGTTAAACAAGATCACAGTTTGAATTGGTCTAAAAAAACAATAAAGATATCACTCTGGCTTAAGACACAATATGATTCACACATTTGAAAATACACATATTTTTAAAACTAGGCCTACTTGATTGATTTCAATGGAGACATTTCACAATTTTCAAACGAAATCAAGCAAATCGATTTTTTAAATGTCCAAGTCACATATAGGCTAACCAGCTACAAGAGAAAAATAAATCCTTAACGTATTATTTTTTCCTACAACCATTGGAATGTATTATTAAGCAAATCTTTCTGTGACTGATGGTAACACTTTTCTCCTCAAGACTTACTTAAAAGCCTATGTAGGGTACCATCCATGTGTGTAAATGGTTTCATAATTTGTTAGTACAAAGTGTTTTTTAAAATTTTATTTAATAAATTCTTTGGAACATATCAAGGGATTTCTAATTAAGTTGCACAACCAATTTTAGAAGTTACATAATTACTTCTGTTGTTTGAATCTCAAAAGCTTCACCAACTCGCCATGAAAATATGTATTTTGAGAAACCAAATACTTCTGCAAAACTATATATGTTGTATGAAATATATCAATGACATCATGAGTTTGTTATTGACTGATATTACTTTATATGATAGTCACTCATTCAGAGTCTAGAATTGACTTAGAGGTAGTATTTATCTTCAATTTCGCATTGTTTCCAGGGGTAACGTGCTTGGACATTCTCCATACAGGCAGGGTGCACCAGCCTGTGCTAGGTTTGGTACATCGCCATCTCGGAGGTTTCCTGGACTTTGTGGTAAGAATTGCAACATAATTACCTCAATTTCTTTTTATATTAGTGAACATTTAGGTAATAAGCTATTACTGTAGGTCTCATGGTAAGACCTGGACCCGGGATCGATTTAATTTTTCGTTTTTATGTCCCCAGAGCGCAAAACACCATCCGTTCAAATTCATATATGTACAATATATTTTGTCCCAGGACGCTAGGCACGAGCCCGGGATTATTTTTCACATTACTTCAGGCTAGACCTAGGGGTTGCGGCATTATCACTTAGTTAAAATATATTTATATATATGTGTCTGTTAGCACAATAACTCAAGCAAAAATCATCCGATTTCGATTAAATTAATTACAAATGTGTAAACCTACTTTTATTCTAACGAGTTTGCAAACTAGCATGATTCAAAATTTCCTCTCTAAACCAGTTTGTTAAGATTAAAAACAAATAATTTAGTATACTGAAGTGTTTTTGTACGGATATTGGTTACAGAGAAAATGCAAAAAATTGTAAATTCAAAATTCCCATGTTATTCTTATTCTAACGATAATAAGTACCTAATTTGTTGTTGTTTGCTTGTTTATGGATATATTTTTATCAGAGAAAATCAAATCAGGAAAACAGAAATTCGCTTAGTCTGCAGGTTTGCTGCCCGGGGGGGGGGGGGAGGGGGGTATTTTTATACTTGGATATATTTTAAACATCACAAATTCTACTATAACTTTTTGGTATTGATTAGTCCAGTATATGTTAATTGTAATAACCATGTGGCCCCAACTTTATCTGTGTAAATAAAGAACTTTTATTTCATTTCATAATTATTGTTCATTACTTTTAAGACCATATGATGCATAATTAGGTCTGTTTCAAGCTAAATATCAATGCAGGGTGAGTGAAGAATAGAGAAAGAAGATATTTGTGTAGCATTTACTAAACATATCTTCAGAGAGGACCTTTTATAAAGCCCCAATGGTCAAGAACAACTGGCTCAGTTTTAAACCACCAAAAATCTGCTTTCTTAGATATGTGGCCATGTCAATGGCAGGACTACTAACAGATATGTCAATGTTAGTAGTTCTGGGTCAATGGTAGTAAATATACAGATCTGGTTTAATCAGCTGAGGAACTTAGAACTGTATTGTATCATTGTATCCTATAAAAAACTTTGTCTTGAAAGCTCAACTATAATTAACATTACTATCATGTTTTCACCTTAAATTTGGATTGTTGAGCTAGATAGATCATTTATGTGTTCTAAATACACTTCTTTTTTATTTCAGAACCTAGAGGAGCTTACAGCCAGTCCTATTATTATGGCTGAAAACGCATCCACCACAAAAAGGAATCTCACTCCAGAAAGTCTTTGTACACTGGGAAACGGATTTTGCAACACATTTGAAAGCCGTCCTTGCCTTCTGTTGGTAGAGAAGCTGAAGACACTTCATATAAATGAGGAGACACAGTGATCATAAGGATATTTCATTCACATTTATATTGTAAACAAAATTATTCAAAGTCAAATCAAGCTAATTTTAATTCCAGGTTGGAAACCATGAACAAGTACCATACTCCCTTTTTATAGTTTTTAAACTAATTGAAAGTAAAAATTATTTAAAAATGTTTCTGACAAATTGTCAAATGAACTCTCTAGGGATGTTGGATTGGTAATTCTTTTATTGTTAAAGGATGACAAACTTACAGGATTGTATATCACTTTCTCAGCATCAATTATTTAAAGTTTTATAGTTTAATATATATGACAAATGGAAGGGCAATTAAGTAAAAAATTGTTCTTTCCAGTGCTGGTTTCATTGTTGAAGCCAATTTTATTCTAATTTTGTATTATATAGTTCATAAACAAATTGTACATAACTAGTCTTCTTCATATAGTTTATACTGGTGAATCATTGTAAAGTTAGTTTAGACTATTTTAGAAATAATAATAAGCTGTGATAAGTAAATAAACTATTTAAACTTTACTTGATGTATTTATTATAACACAACACATTATCAATTAAATAGGGAGTTTTTTGTTTGTTTTATTTTCTAGGATTACTTTTTTTAATATTTCGCATACTTAAAAGAGAACACAGAGAAGTAAATGTACGATAATGCATACAACTTAAACAACATAGAGTTCACACAATCGTCAGTTAAAGCAAAGGCTTGTGGCTAGTAAATCAACACCACTTATGTAGTTCTTAATGCAAGAAGCTAAAGAAATTGTCTTTTGCGCTACCTGCGCAAATTCATCATATTTTATGAGCAGGTTAAGTTGAGCTTTGACTACATACAAAACGTACAATGAGGACTTAAGCACTCTTACTGAGTTTAATGGTAAGTGCTAATCAACGTTTAGTAAAATCTAAACTGATAGATATATTTTATTTTATTTTATTGTTATAATGCCAGAATAAAATGTCTTATGTAAATTAAATTAACTTTAAATAAAATATACCTGACGGGTATACACCTGATAGTAAAAGGAAATTGCAATATCCAGAATTAAATGTTTTTTTTATAATTTACTGAGGATGAGATTTCATTCCAATGGGTTATGAAACATAACATTTTAACTTTATGTTACATTGAATTAGTTGAATATAAAGTTATGAATTCAAATTACAATAAACAACATCAAATTTTACACTTTATAAGGAATAAAATTAACTACTGTAGCTTGTTATATAGTTTTGGCTTCAGTTGTTAATATTTTAGTTTTAATCTCTAACAGTCTAAAAGATTGATAAAAAATCGCACAAAACTTGGATAAAGTGTACATTTCAATAGGTACAGTATGATTCAAAATGAATGCCTAGGTATAACGCTTTACAATAGTTATAAATTAAACTCACAGTAATGAATACTAGTCAATAAACAACACTTCTTTATTGGCACTATCAAGTGGTTAGCAATAGAACTATAAATATATAGTCCTTTATGCAGCCATTAATTTATATCATGGTACAATAGACTATGTCAGCATCTGACTCATTTGAAATTTTCTAGCTCATTAAAAGTATGTTGCGATAAACAGTAACTTGACCAAAAAGACAAAACTAACAACTTATCATATGGACTAAATCCTACGATTACTCACTGATTTTACCGTATATGTACTTAAAACTATACTGATTTAAGGTAAATTAAGAAATGTTTATAGTCTACCACTGGTGGCGCTCGTCGTCTGGTGGGCATACTGAAATCCCTGTGGACCAACGTGTGCCATATGTACTTATTGTACAATTCACCGTTGGGGCAGCAGTTGGACAAACTATACGCATGTTTGTTATTTGTAACTGCTGTAAAAGTACAGCGCTTCGCTTCCCAGGTCTTCTGACAACCCTTGCTACCATTTTTGGTGTACAAGTTGTATCATTCTTTGCCTTTGGTGGCGTGCCTCATAATAATTAAGTAGTAAAATAAAATAGTTCAGAAATTGATTGTGCTCTTGATTACTATTATGGGGATGACAAGACTAAATCTGACAAAGGTAGTGACAGTGACACTGATCTTACTAGTGTTGGTCGAGGTGATCAATTTGAGGAAAGTGACAGGAACATTGGACTGGATAGTGACATAATAACCATTTTGTATGGAAACCAAGTCATAAAAAAAAACAATGAGAAGAGATCGGTTTGATTGTTTATTGTCTCCACTTCCATAACAATGATGCCTGGGCAAGTAACCTCGACTAGCAAAGATAAAACCTTGGTAACTTTACTCAACATAAAGTTTAGGGAACTTCTTCTCCTCAATGAAAATCTGGTGATCGATGAATCAATGGCTCATGGCGAGAATGGCAATCGTTGAATTGTCAAGCAATATTTGCCATGGAAAACGTATAAGCATGGTGTGAAACTATAGAAATTGTGTGCAACAAATGGTTACACATTCAAAGTTAAAATGTACGCTGATAAATTTTATATTCAAGCTAAGGAGGGTCATGCTGAAAAAGTAGTAATGGAACTTATGGAGAATGAGTTGGAAGCTGGTCGTACATTGTACCCAGATTAATTGGACAGTTTACTTCTAAAAAACAAAACCTACCTGTGTGGCATGTAGACCAAAAAGAAAACCTTTAAAATAGGGGAATGATTTCTAAGGAACAGTTTTAGATTGAAATTTATGAAGTGGAGGGACAAGAGCGTGATGATTTAAAAAAAGACCTGAGAAAACTAACACTCTAGTGAAGTCGTTAAAACGTATGAAGAAGGGAGGGCTTATAATGAAGCCTACAACCGTATACTGGGAGTTACTCGATTGAACCGATGATCAGGAATTAGTCCCCCCAATGTACCCAATCGCCCTTTTTGGGAGGTACGGCCGATTGCACCGATTGTCAATTCCATTAGTTAAACATGTTTCGGATTTTTCGGTAACCAAGTAGCATTAAATAAGTTACAAATTTAACTAGCGTAAGTAAATTAAAATACATAGACACGAGCCTAATTTATTTATGAAACCTTGTTTAAATGAGTAGTAATGTAATAGTTATTATATTGTCCTATTAATACGATAGTATTTATTTGGATAAAATCTGGATGTTCAACATTTGATGTGGTCTCTTAAGAATCTCAAAGATTGTTGACTGTCAAAGCAATCTAGTGATTATCCAAAACACTGGGCCAGTGAAAAAATGTCAGAAGAAATGCATTTCCAGATGCAAGTTTGTAAAAAGGGGTTCTTTCAACAATAGAAAATGAATGTATTATTTGTTACAGAATGTTTGATGTACTTATGTTAAAAATAGAAATGTATATAAACATGCTGCAACAAATATAGTTTTTTTTTATGCTATTGCTCAGATACCAGAGGGGTCTGATGAAAAAATATTGTGTTTCCTAAATGCTGCTTTAAGAGTTAACACTTTTTAGTACTTGTTAATAATATTATTATAAGGGGTGAAATGGTTAAAAAATAAAATAAAACTGTATTAAATAATTAATTTAGGAGATGTACGATCATTCAACAGACTACTTTGGTGTGTTTTACGGTTTTACCCAACAATATAAAGATATAAAGATTAGCAAATTGATTAGCCAAAATAAAGCTTAGCAAATTGAATTTCAGTAAGAAAATTTCTTGTCTAATATAAACTTGGTCATTTCTTAAAACTAAGTTTTGTACTTTAACACTAAAATTTTATATTTTTAGTGATATGGCATAACAACAAACATTTTCTCCACAAAGATTATCAAAGAAACTTGGAACACCTGTGGAATCTTGGTGTAGCGGGACAGGGCGTTCCTTCTCTGCTTTATTCCTAAACTGCCGTGTATATTTTAATAGGCAACCTATGATTTTCTGAGACAACGGTAAGCATTTTGGTACTGGAAAATTTACGACTACAACACTGGTTAAGATGCCTCAAGAAATTGTTTTTCCTTAAGTCTCTGGGTCCTAAAGTTTGGATGTTGAATTTTTAAGACCTACTAACCAATTTTACCTATCAGACAGTTGAAACTGAATTAGATAGAGGAGATAACTCGTTACAGAGCCTGCTACCTGGAACACAAATTATAAATACTTTATGTTACATAACTTCAAAACAGAATAGTATGTACTTAAGTTTATTCAACAACTGAAATAGCAGTGACGTAGCCAGGGGGGGGGGGTCCTGGGGTCTGCACCCCCCCTTCCGGTCTTAAATATAATTTTTTTTTTAAATTAAATGTAAAATGATATAATCATACTTTATTGACGTTGGGGTTGATTATTTTCAATGCCAAGAGAGCTAAAAAGACCGTTTTTAGCCCCCTGGTCGGTCGACCTCCCTTATTTTGAAATCCTGGCTACGTCACTGGTCAATAGTTTTACAAACCGGCAAATTTTCCAATTTGTTTGTTTCAAGCAACACTGATTGGTAGCGTAACAACAAATTCTGCTGTTTTGCAGACTCAGGCCTCTTTGACCCAGACAGCACACTTTATCCCAGGGACATCCCATAGTAGTCCCATATGTCCTGAGAATGTCTCGGGATATGTGCGCTATCCTCAGGATATCCCGCAAAATCCCGGGACGAGTACGAAATCCACAGGATATCCTACAATATACCGTAATGTCCTGGGATTTGTAAGTTAACCTCAGGATATCCTGTAAAGTCCCGGGATATGTACGAATGCCATAGGATATCCCAGAATGTCCCATGACATCCCGGGACATGTACAAAATCCACTGGATATCCTGTAATGTCCCGGTAAGTTAACAAACTGAAGAAAAAAAATACTATTACTGATGAAATGTACAGTATATCTAAATTTAAATGTTCAACAAGAACAAGGCCAATATATAATAATTTGTTTTTTTCACTAGTGCTTTCAGAAACTTGGTTTCCATCTTCAGGCTGTGTTTACACTAGTACAAAAAGTAAATATTTACTTAATAAATTAATTTTAAACAAAGTTAAAACAGATGATTTAAAGGATATTGGAAAAATAAAAAATAATATTA